GAGTTCTTGTCCATTCGAAGGCCCATCAGAGGACTGAGAGTCCAAGATGGTTCCTTGATAATTTGACTCGAGCTGACCCCTACAGAATTGATGCATGTTTGTCCTTTTGTAAAGCAATGAGTTTTTCTGAACCCGTTGACTTCAGATCAACAGCTCACTCTTTGATTGGCTTTTAGATTAAAAACAGAACCTAAATTCACTGTGTGGCTATTTCAAAGAAACTTGGTTTGGGAACATTTCTGACTTTGATTGTGAAAATGTACATTAGTGGCTCTGAACATCCGTAAAACAATGCTGCTGGTCTTTATTTACTCATCAATAGGGAAGTGAAATCTTCCTGCAAAATCAATRAGTTCAGAAAAGCTCTTCAGTGGACTCAAAAAGCAGCTTTTGTCATAAAAGTCAAACATGTTTTTATTAGTTACTGTGGCATAAAATGCTAAAATCAAAGTGCAGGAAGTATTCAAGCACAATCAAAGGCCCTTTCCCAATCAGTGGCTTTACACTCAGTTAGCGCGTTCCCGCGGAGGGTTGGCCATATGAAGTCCCATCTGAAACCAATTACGTACGAGGGCGAGTGGCTTATTAAGCCATCCACAGCGAGTCAGCATCCAATGCAGACTTGATCAGCACGTGCAGCACCAAATAATGGTCGGCATGGAGCACGGGACGTATAAATATAAGTTCCACATATTTACAGTACTAAGTGACCTCACCAACAAATATAATTTCACAAAGACTATATAACTCATGTTCAGTTCAATTCAAGCTTTATTAAAGACACAGAACCAGTCCATATTTAAAAAAGAAGAAAGGAAAAAATTAAAAAATAAAAAGTAAATAAACTTYTTAAAACATTTTAAAAGAGGAGGGTGGATAATTAGACCTTACAGCGCCATCAAGGGTGCGAGGGTGCTTCACAGCGAGTGTAGCGTGTAGGGCGTAGGGCGAGGGTGTAGCCACTGATTGGGAAAGGCCGAAAGTCAGGTGGTCTAAGTGTCGTCAGGAAGTGATTGACAAACCTAATCACCCTTTAAGGCCAGCAGGTTCACTCACCCGTGACTTCAGCTGCAGGCGTTTTCTTTTCATTCCTGATTGTTTCTTTTTTTTCTTTGTTCTGAACAGAATGAACAATTCCTTTTGGACAGAACGTGTTTGATTTTTTGGCCATGACTCACAGAACTGAACAAGCAGACTTTTAGAGGTTTTTGTTTCTCAAAGCACCGTTTCTAGTTGTGTTTTAGTTCGAGTTTAGAACATTCTTTTCATGCGCGCAGAGGAAGAAGAAGCTGGTTTTAAAATGAGATGCACAATCATTATCAGCTCTTTCTACAGAGATGTTCCAAGAAGACGTRAAAGCGGCACCTTGGGAGTTTGCACACAGGTCACAGCGGTTATTTGTCCTCCACAGCCGAGGGCGTTGAGTCTATAGAATAACCTTGCCCACGTGTGACCAGTTCTCTGAGCGGAGACTCGGACGAAAAGACGTGRACGTAGTTATTTGGAACTTTTCATTCCTCTGCCTAGTCAAGTTTCTGAAAATAAACACTTGTGTTTTGTAACCTCGGTTTCCCACTGAATGTACAAACTCAAACTCAAACTGTCTAAATAAAAAACATGTTTTTGTAGGTATTTTAATATGTCTGATGCATTCAACACTATGTTCTGTTCAGGGGCGGAGCCAGGGATGGCCATGGCCACCACAGACAAATCTCTGGCCACCCCATTGGTCACCCTGCTGTACACACCCCTTACGCAGTGAAACAACCTTTAGGGGKGTAATAATCCTTCTGAACAGTTGGTGGCAGTGTTTAACAGTTTGAAACATCACCAAGCTCTAACACTGAAGAAGAGTAATGACAAGGAAGTGATGATTATCTTTACAGAACATATGTAATCTGACTCATGGTGTCAACTTTTGCACTTAGGGTGACAAATGTTTTTTTTTTTGTGTCATTTTATACTATGAAGGCTGCAAGATTCTCTGTCCCTTTTGGTTATGAGTAGGCCTATCACTAAATCAGAAAAACACCCCTCTAAATTCACTGTTGGTGGTTATCAATGTTGCGCCTGTTCATTGGGTAAAAATATTAATATTAGTTTGAAACATGCAGTTGAGGGTCATTATTTGGCACAATGACATGTGTTACAATTAAAAATAAATCAAAAAACAATATAAAAGTAAAAAGCACCCCTAAAGTCATTAGAAATGATAAACTGTGTCACGTTAATTAACCTTATCTTAGCTGTAGCAGTGAGTTTAAAACAGGATGATGGAACTAAAATCTGTCTCTAATTTAGTTATTTAATCAAGTGTTTTAATGTAGACAAAAGTATGTTTAGGAA